GATGTTTTTCAAAATGTAAGGATTAAAATAAATCAAAAATTATGTTTCTAGCATTTGTAGTTAATAAGTTATAAGTATTTAAAGCTAAAAATAAGTTGTTGCATTTCTTTTGTCAGTCACTATATGTGAAGGTAATAGATTTTTCAATGTTGATAATGAAGCTTCAGTAAAAGTAAAACTTAAAATATCTTTAGAGATTCAAATACTTGTTAAATTTATATTTAGAACTAAGGTTTAATTTGAAAAAATTCTGTATTATTTTAGATTTAGTAAAAATTTTACTATATATAATGAATTTTAACAATTAGAAAAATGCTTATGTTAAAATTTTATTAATAAGATAAATTCTCATAAATAAATAAATATCATAATTTAATTATTATATTTTTAGCTATTTATTATGTAAAATTAAAAAAAAAATATATATTTATATTTTATGATAAAATTTATTAAATCATTTTATAAATAAATTAGCAAAGTTATTATTTTCTTTATAGTTAGTTCTAATAAAATAATTTTGTCTACTATTCATATTTCTTTAAAATAATTTTTTAATAAATAAACTTTTTATAAAAATTTATAAATACAATTTAATTACTTTTCAAAAAAATTTATATAAAAAATTTAAATCTTATTTTAAGATTTTCTAATATTCTTTAATAAATGTTATTATCTTAAGAATTAAAATATTTTTATAGGTTAATTGTATTAATAACTATTATTATATCTATTTTTATATTTAAATGCTTATTAATAAATTTGGTATTAATAAATAATATATATATCAATCAATAATTTTCCATACTTTTATAAATTCTATTATTGATACAAATATTATTTCAATAAAAACTACTTTTTATATACAACTAATAAATTATATATAGCCTTTTTAATATCTTTAATTTTATTTTAATAGTAAGTTATATATAATATTAGCATAATAAAATTATTATGCATATTTTAATAAAATTTAAGTAAAATCTTTATCTGTTAAAAAAATTCTGATTCTATATATTTGTAAACTCTAATTTCTATTAGAAAGTTATTATAATATAACCTATTACAATTTTCATTATTTGCAAAAAATATAATAATCAATTTTAGTAATTATTAATAAACTCTATTAAATTCATTAATTACAAATTAAAATTTACATATAATATCAATCTCATATTCATATAAACAAATTTTATTTTTTTTAATTATTTTTTTAATATCTATTATAAAATTTTAATTTATATTAAAATTTAAAAAAAAATATAATTTCAAAATTATATTTTTCAAGCTTTTTTTTTTGTTATAATAAATATATTTTTATTATATTTATAATTATTAGCTATAAATTTTGACTATCAAAATATATTTAATTAATAATTTATTTTATAAAAATAAGCTTAACATAAATTTTTAAAATAGAAAATTGATATTATTTAATAAAATTTTTAATAAAATTTAATATAAAATGATTTAAGAAGAAGTATAATATAATTATGAATTAAATGAAACTTAAATAATATTAGCTACTATATCAAAAGTAACTTTAAGTATTATATAGTATTTAAATTATTCTTTTAATAATATATTATATTAATAATTAGAATTTATATATTTATATAATTTTTTTTAAAATTTATTTATTAAAAATAGAGATACTAAAAAATATAAAATTTTGTTTTTAATATTTATATTCTTTATAAAAATTAATAAAATATCATGATCTATTCATAATTAACTCTATTTAAAAAAAATAAATAAAACCTAAATTTTATTAAAATTTGTAATTAAATTAATATATTTAATTTTTTATTTTAAATTTTTAGTATAATAAAAATCAAAAAATAATATCAAAATTTTATTAGTTAAAAAGAAACTAAAATCTAAAAATCTTTTTATATATTCTTTATATTAGTTAATTATAATAGATTAGACTTAAAATTTTATAAAATAAAAGAATTAAAATTTAGAGACATACTAGTAGTAAAGAAGTAGTATCATTAATCAATTCTAATCAAATAAGTAATTTAGTATCAATTTAAAATTTAAACAACTATAAATCAACTTAAAAATATATTAAACAATATATTAAATTAATATAAAATTTAAAATAAATTAAAAACAATTTATTAAAATAATTTATTATAATAATATTAACATTAATAAAATTATATTGGTAAATTTCTCTAAGTATTTGATATTATTTTAATTAAAATAATTAAATTATTATTTTAAATAAATGAAAAGTGATCAATAGAAAAGGAAAAAATTTACAAATTTTAAGTAATTTTAGTTATTAAGCTAGTTTTTATTTATATAACTTTGATTAGTAAATAAAATATTTTTATCTAAAAAATGGATTTTCATCTTTTTATTAACTGTTTTTTAAATAATAAAAATATTATTTGATTAAAAAGATTTAAATTATTATTTTAAATGAATAATAAAAATATTATTCTAATTAAATAATATATAAAATTATCATTCTAAATAAATAATATATAAGATATTAATAGTTAAAGATAAATTAATTTTAAACTAATTGTATAATTAAACTAATTTAATTTAATTTTAAGATTAAAAATTATAATAAATATTAATTTTTATCATATAATTTAATATGATTAGACTATTAGTTCAATTGATAGTTTAATTGAATTTTTAATTGCAATTTCAATTATAATTGATAACTTATTTAGAAGAATCTAAATAATAAAGTTTATTATTATTTATTTAAAAAGAATTCAAAAAAGCATTAGTTTTAAAACTAATAAAATAGAAACTTAATAATGTTAATATATAATCCTTACAAATTGTGATAGTTAGACAGAGTATTTGAGTGGTAATTCTTTTAAGTTTATGTAATAACTTAATCTCAGTTTAACTCAAGTTTATAATTTACACAGCAGTAGACTTCTGACAAGACTAAAAGCAAAGTAACTCAATTGATTCAAAAGGTGTAATAATATATTTATTTACGATAAATAATAAAGATAAAATATAATAATAATAATATATGAAATAAGAAAATAAGAAAGAATAAGAGAAATCAAAAGAGTTAAAATACTAAGTGAAATGTTAGGTCAGGCGTCTTTACAAGAACTATCAGATGTATATCTAAAAGCAAAACTAAAGGAAAACTAAAAGTGAACTTAAAAGTGAACTTAAGTTTACATGATTTTATTACTCTCTATTTATATTAAATTAATATATAGACAGATATAACAAATAAATCAAATATATCTAATATGTTCGATATGTCAAAGATATTAACTTTATCAAATATGTCTAGTTATCAAATATATCAAATATATCAAATATATCTAATATGTCTAACATTTAGATCTACAATATACTGCATTACGTTCATCAATCCAATCCAGTTACAATAATAATTTTTATTTTTATATGTTAATTAGTTCTATAATAAATAAATTAAAAAAATAAAAATACAAATAAAATAAATTTATAAATATTAAAGTATACTAGATATAAATTAGCCTATAACTATTGATTTTAAATATTATATAGAAGTGGCAAGTTTAATTTAAGAAAAAAAATTTTTTTTAATAAAAATCAGAAAAAAAACTATAAAAAAAATTGAATATAAATTAAAGGAGGAAAAAAAAGGAATAATAATAGTTAAAATAATAATTAAATTTTATTTTAAAAAAAAGAATATTAATAACTAGAATGATAATTAGGTTAAAGTAAAAAAATTATGAAAAGAAATTTTTAAAGAAATATTTTCAGAATTTTTTTTTTTAGAACTGAAAAATCATTTTTTAATAAATTTGTTAAATTTAGATCAGATTAGATTTGAATTTAAACTGATTTGTCAAATCTGAATTTAAGATTTGATTTATCAGATTTAGATTAGATCTGAATTTTAACAGATCTATCAGATTTAATCTAAATCTGAATTTTAATAAATCTATTAGATTCAGATCAAATTTAAATTCTGAAAAATAAAAATTGAATCAGATCAGATTTAAATAAAATTCAATTTAATCTAATGTTGCAGAATATTATAATTAGCTATAAATAAGATAAGTTAAATTTTAGCTGATTTTTGATATAGATTAATTGACTATAAATAGTTTACATTTAACTCTTGATATAATAAACTCTTGATATAATGAATTTTTTGAACAAATATAATAAAAATACTCTTGTTATAGTGAATTAACCAATCAAATTTTTTAAAATCTTTACTATAATATTATAGCAAAGTTATAATCTATAATAAAAATGGCGTTGTAACTAGTTGCAACTATGTGATGCTTATTTGTCACCAGTTGCAACTAATTGCAACTCAATTTTTATTAATATTACAACTAGTTGTAACCCTGTAATACTTATTTGTCACCAGTTACAACTAGTTACAATACTATCTTTAGTTTAAAATAAAAAGTTTGTTATAATAAGAATTGATTATAGGTTAAATTTTGATTAAATTATAGCTGATTTTTAATGTATACTAATCAGTTAAGCTAATATTTAATGATTTGCTAATTTTAAATTAATTTTAAGCCAATTTATTACATATCTGATTTTTTTTAATTTTATTTAGTAGATAATTATATAAAGTTCAATTATATTAATAAGTTTTTTTCTAATTAAGAAATTATTAAAATTATATATTTTAATTAAATAAAAAAAATTTTATAAAAACTAGAGAAACAAAAACTATTGTTAAGTCTAGAATGATCTTAACTAAAAAATTCATACTAATATTTATTTATCTAAGATTTTGTAATATCAATCACTAGACAAATTCAGTATTATATAGATTAATTAATGATCAATATAGTATATGACTACGATTTACTATTAATTTTATTATAAAAATTAAACATTTTTAACTATTATATAATATTGTGATACATTAACTACCAAATATTAATAATCAATCAATCTTGAAGTTTTTTCTAACATTTTCTCTTATATATATTATTAATAAAAGTTTTTTCATTCAAAAGGATCTTAGCTATAAAGTTGGCATAATGTTACATTTTTCTTTATCAAAGTTTTAAGATCTAAAATTTTTATACTTCAAAAACAAAGAAAAACTTGTATAAATAATATAAAATTTATTTTATTTTTCTCTTTATTTTTCTTTTTTAATATTTGTTGGCTTAAAAATTTTTTAAAATAAACTGTATTTAATGAATAAAGAAGAACTAAAAATCAATATGCAAATTATGATACATTTTTTATATTTAATAGACTTCTCATGTTTGATATACTTTCATCTTGAATAATAAATCAATATAGAAATTACATAAATTTATAAACTTCAAGATGTTTATATATAATATACATGAAAATATTTCTGAAACTTCAGTTTTAGAATACTTGACGTTCAAAGAACTTTATTATCAATAGAATATGAAAACTCTGATAATGATAAAACTAAATATGATGAACTAGTTAATTTTTCTTTAGACAAAAAATATTTAAAAAAAATAATTGAAGAGTTATATTTGAAAGATACAAGTAAAACAAGTGATATAGATAATATATGCGTTGATGATGATGATGACTTAATATCAGAAGAAGATCCAAAAAATAATTATTAAATAGAAGGAATTTAAAATTTTAACTTATTATATTATTGTTAATAAAATAGATAGATATATTAAAAGATGTAAAAATTTAAAAAGTTTTTGAATATTATGGTAGCTTTGTGATGTATAGTAGATAGATGAAGAAAGTATTATTGAAGTAGATAGTGTAATGAAATGATTGAGCATTTGTAGTTATAATTTTAATTATGATCAAAAAAATCTTCATAATTCAAATTTTAAAAAAAAATATATATACTAAAGTATACTTTATTAAAAATGATGCTTATTTTATGAAAATCTTTTTTATTTTTTATTCAAGGTTTAGGTTGTAAAAGGTATTTATAGAAGATGATTGAAAAAAATATTCAAGTAATTTGTAATAGTCAATTTAATTGCAGTGTATTAGAATAATATGATTTTATATGTGAACTCTTGAAGAAGATAAGAAAATTTTCTGATACATATGCTGTAATTATTATAAATATAAAAGCGGGTATCTTCATATTAAACTAGAAAGAAGGTGAGAAATATTATCATATATAGAAAAAGGATATTACAGGGAGGAAATCAAATAAATTTTCTTATTATTAATGCAATAGTTTTTAAATATTGCAAAAGATGAAAATTTTAAATATCAAAAAAATATTCTCATAGCAGTTTTACCTCAAATTATTCCATTTTTTTTATTCAATTACAAAAATAAATAATATTCTTATTAGTTTTCAAGAAAAGAATTAAATAAAAAGAAATATAAGGAAATAAGATAAAAATAGAATAGAAATTATAGAAATCATCCAAATATCTTAAAAAAAATAAAAATATTTTGCAAAATCTTAAAAGTCTTAATAGTTATATTAATGCATTGCCTAAGCCTTTAATAATTTTTTTTGAATTAATGCTTACGTTAATATTGGAAAATAAAATTGCAAAATCAAATTGAAAATAACACTCAAATAACAAAGTATTAGAGAAAGTTGATTCACGAAAAATCAATAAACTTCTTTTTTTATTAACATTATCTTTAGTTAATTTTGCATTTTCATATTCAAATTTATACCTACTAAGTATACTAGCATCATTATTCTGATGACCAAAATTTTTATCATCATTGCATGATCTTTTGACTAAGTATTTTATTATTAGATATACAAATAAACATGAATAAAGGTAAAAAAAACATAAATTGAAAAATGCAGATCTATTCAAAAGTCTATTAAATAGAACAACTATTTTTAATTTAGCAGTAATTGATAATATAGACTTAGTTTCCAATTTGAAAATATCTATTATACAACTCAGGATACATCATATGCTATATTAAGAATGGTGTTTTAGTCTACATTACCTGAAATTATTAATAAAAAACCTGAATCAATTTGTGAACTAAATGCTAATACACAACTTTTTAGAATGTCACCAGTAATATATAATATTATTTGCAAATTAAATAGGATGTTTGAAGATTTATTAGTATTTTAACTCAACAAAAAGAAAGAATTAATATATAATAAAAACTTTAATCTTACAGCAGTAGATTCAGAAATACTTAAACAAGTACATTTTGGCTGCAAGCTTTCACCTTTAAATATAGTTATACTGGAATCAAGTGGATCACCAAATGAAAATAATGAGATCTTATGAGTTACAGAAATATATAAAACAGATTTTTATTAAATAAAAATAACTTTTTAGATATTTGTGTTGATAAAATAATATTTAGAAGATTAATTAAATACTATAATAAATCAGAAAATATACAACCTATTTTTAGTTAGTGACACACATTCAAAGACATGATAAATGTATTTCTTATCTTATTTTCAAGTTATGATATTTACAATCTAGTTGCAGCTTTGAATATTAAGTTTTAAGATAAATTAGCTACTATTATTGATTATTGATCTATAAGAAGAGTTTTAGAGTTAATATAGATTGCAGTTGGAATTATTATCTATATATATGTGCAAAAAAAAATATTAAAATTGAAGAAATATCATCTGGTCCTATAAATAAAAAAATTTGTTTAAAAACCTAATATTTATACTATAAGTAATTACAATTTGGAAGATTCATCTTACTAGCATATGTTGTAAGAACTATAAATTGCAAAAATTTGGATTAGCTACTTTTTTTCCACTTTTTTCTGCAGCAGGAAAAAATAATTACACTACTTTAGTTACACATTTTCTTTTTATTTTAGAAAAATATTCACAGTTTGAAAAAACTTTATTATTGTGCTTCTATAAATCTAGCAAGAAAAAATATTATTTTGCTTATAATAAAGCTTTAAAAACTTATGGTATTACTTATATTAAACAAAATATTATAGGAAATTCATATAATTAAAAAAATTTAGGATTGCAAATTAGAGCAATTCAAGAATAAAGAACACGAATAAATATATTATTGAATGAATTTTAGATACTTACATGTATTATCAAAAAATCATAATATTAATAGCTATATTAATTTATTATAAAAGTTAGCACATGATTTATTAGAAGCATTTGAAATATAAAATATTATCGATTATGATCTTTTTAAGAAAAATCCTTTATCTCAATTAAATTAAGAAGGATTTATGAAAATAAATCTAGCCTATAAAGATAGATTGAGAAGAATAAAAGAAATTTATTGACAAAAATAATAAAAACTGAAGCAATTAATAATAAAAGAAGAAGAAAGTTATCAGTAATTAAAACTAAAGTTTCTGATTTATAAAAAATAAAAAATTAAGAAAAAGGACTATACTAAAAGATAATAGTGAAAGTTCTTCTCAATCAACTGAGGCATTACATATTATTCAATTTAATGAATAGGATTTTCAATTAGTTTTAAAAGATGAAAATATTAATATAAAAAGAAAACGTACTGATTTAGATAATCAAGAGAATACTGAAAGTTAGCTTCAATTAAAATGTTAAAAAGTTGTAACAGCTGAAGAAAAAAAAAATTTAAAGCATTTATTAGAAAAGGAAATAATGTCTTCAGAAGATAAAATTAATAATGCTTTGAACAAGTTATCCAGAAAATGGAATATTCAATATGTCAAAAAATATTGGAGTAATAATAGACATAAAAGAAGTAATAAAAATAATAGTTTTAGGCATTTTTATACGAATACTAAATGAAAAATGCATTGTTACTAATCAATAAAAAAACTAGCAAATAAACTGCTTTTCATATAATAAATAAATTTTAACAAGCATATTTTTTTACATATATTTCAACTATTATTAGCTTTTAATAACTTGAAATTAAAAAGAATCTTGAATAAAAGACCAGAATAATGAATGAACTTTAATAATATCATATTTTTTTTATAATTACTATTCTAAAAAAAATAGATAGATGCTAAAAATGGTAATTGAAATTTGATTTTTAGTAATAAAATTATAATGTAGTATAATTTTAATGAGTAATTGGCATATAAGTTTTTTGATTAATATTATATAAGATTTTTATAATTAGTAAATTGGTATAACTGGATTTATCTAATGATTGATATTATAAAAGCTAATCAGCATCAATTTAATTATTGAGCAGGTAGTTATTACGATATTTTTTTTATTATATATAATTAGAAATAGAGATAGTTCTATCAGTTTCATTTTAGTTTCTCTTCAGTTCTACTTTAACTCTTTTTGAGTAAATTAAACATTGAGCATTAAGTTAAATTTATACTAATAGAGTATTATGTAATGATCAATTTAAAAAAATTTTTTGACTGATTATCAAATAAATTTGTCCTATTATTACTTTTAATTTGATAATAATCCAATTTTGAGCCAATTCTTAAAACAAGTCTTGAGTCAGTTCTGGTTCAATTTTTAAAATTGTTTAAAAATAGTTTGTAACTCAGAAAAATCTAAAATATGTTAAATTTATAATCAGTTCTAGAACTGATTCAGAATCACTCTTTTTGAACTATTTCTATTCCTATATATAATTTTATAATATATATAATTTAAAAATTAAATAAAATTTAATTCTATTCTTTTTAATAACTATTAAATTTATATAATAAATATAAAAAAATTTAATTATAATATTTTAAAAAGATTTAATAAATAACTTTAACTATATAATTATTTAATAATAATAAAAAAAATTTAATAAATAAAATTATATATAATTATAATTTATTAATATATATTTTAAATAATAAAATTTTAATTTAAAAATAAATTTTATAAATTAATATAAAAATTAAATAAATTTTAAATTTAATTTTTAAATATAAAAATTTTATTTTTTGTTAAATTAAATTAAATTAATTTAATTTAATTTTATAATTTATTTAAATTTAATAAAATAATATGACTTTTATTTTACAAATTTTTAATAAATAATAATATAGATTTTTTAATAATTGTCATCCTTAGTTCAATTGATAACTAAATTTCTAAATAGATAAAATTCTGAACAATTTAAATTAATTTGAAATTTTTTTAATTTAAATTAAATTTAAATCAGTTTTAAATTACATAAAATCAATCTGAAAATTTTGATTTAGTTCAAATTTTTTAGATTTTAATTCTAATCTAAATTAAAAATTCTAAATTAAACTGAAAATTTTAGATTAATCTGAAATTTTTAATTTAAAATATTTTAATTGAATGATAAAGTATTATTATATAAAATAAATATTATTTTTATCAAATGATAAAAGATTATTTAATAAGAAAGATTAAAATTATTATTTCTATCAAATGATAAAAATATCACTTAATGAAATGATTAAAATATTATTTTTATTGAATAATAAAATATTATTTAATAAAAACAATTTATATTTTTATTTTTTTCAAATGATATAGTATTATTTAATAGAAATAATTAACTTTATTATTCTCATTAAATGATAAAAGAATTATTTAATAGAAAAGATTAAATTATCATTTCAATAAATAATATATAATTTAATTAAATTTTCAGATTAATTCAAAATTTTAGTTTATATTAGGATTTTATAGTTTACAGTTCAGTTTAAAATCAGATTGATATTTTTA